GAGGATAAAAGAGAAGTTGTAGGGAATTGGAATCTCTTAGAAACGAGCTTTGGTTGGGGAAAAATGGATGAAGTATATGAAAGTTATTCCTGGTCAAAGTTCAGTTGACTTCTTCTATAGAAACCCTAATTTAGCAATTCTTGAATTTTGATAAATTAAGAGCATTCCTTGAGGAATCATGATCAATGCTTGATAAGATGATGGATATCACTTCAAAATGTTAATGTTAACCAAAAAATCTTGAAGTTTGACTGTATATTGGCCACAATTGACTTTTGACCTATGACAATTGACTTTTAAACATTTGAGCAATTGACTGAGCAAACTTGTAGTGTAAGGAATGAAAATTGGCATGGACAATCTTGAGACATATTAGGACCATGGAAAACATTTTAGACCTTTTGAGCTCACACATATTGGTGAAAAGTGAAACCCTAGTTGAAAGGACATTGCTTAGTAGGAGAATTTGTCTAATTAATTCTTGGTCAACCTTGAGCAATTGAAGACCTTAATGAACATGTCTTGAGTAAAAAGGGAGGGCAAATTTTTGGGTACAACATATACCATATTCAATCGGATGGCCAGGTGCCCCAGAATATATGCATAGTAGATTATTTTAGGAGAGAGAATGAATGCTTTATAAAGCGAATCAGTATAAACTGCATCACCAAGCATATTATGCCACATAGAAATAATACAATTCGTCTTCTATCAGAACAAAAATAGAGATCTCCACCTGGTGAGGAAGAGTCCAACAGTTGGCCAAATAGGAACTAGACTTTTGGAAGAGACGCCAGACAAGTGATGAGCTTTATACTTCAACCCCTTTACAGTTTTCAATATCAAAACCGGGTGCCCCTGATTGAATAGTTGGATGCCTCAGCGTGATAACCACATCTGATGTTGGTATCATGATCTGGAAGGGAATTTACAGATGGTGCCGAACTACGGGGTCTAACCCACTGAAGCCCAAACAAGTGTGGAGACCAATGATAATGAAGCACTGATATAATATCAACTCTTCTTTAGGCGTATTCTAATCTCGTTGGTAAAACAAGTTTCTTGAATTCACATAATAAATTGGAACCATCTGCTGATAAGATGTTCTAAGAACTCAAGATTATGTAGCACTCCATGGTTGAAAGCGTTCCCCCAAAAGATGAGGAGAAAAGAGAACCTTATGCGGCAGTAAGTGTAAGATTGTTGACATCATCATCAGAGCTTCCATGACATGGCTTATCTGAGTCTTCAATCAATTATCCTCCTTCTCGAAGAATTCCAGATCACGGGAAAAAGGTTGCATGTGTACCACAACTAACCCTATCAGGATCATCGTATCGGTTAATCCCCCACAGACTCATCTCATATTAATCTCTGAACATATGAAGAAAGAAATCAAGTTTGAACCTTTGAAGAGAACACCAGGCTGGAATAAGAATACCCAGCTCTTCGAGTACCTGTTATGGATGCATCAATATGCATGGAGTGCATGAATGGATGCCATGTTATGTTCTGTCATTTCCAAGGAATTTACGTGCTTTGATTTTGATTTTACGTAAGTAAGGGATGGAAAAGTTCAACCCAAGGATTTAAAATATGATTCCCTGGAGATAACAGAACATGTATGTTAAGCATGTGGTTAACCATATTATGTATGCAAAGAAATGGGATCATATGGGATCAAAGTTCCATATTTTTCTGAATATGATTGCTAAACTGTTTCTGAACCATATGAATATCACCAGATCAAAGGTTTGCCATAACTCCCACACATATAAGAACCAAGTACCACATATATCTTCCATTGTATGAGATCAAGGTTTCTAGAACCGGATGTTGTTGAGCATTTTCTGAACATGTTGGGAATACCAAAATCGAAGGCCCAAATGAACTTCCAGATAAACAAGTCAGGAACTCATAAAATAAATCTGAGAATCATATGGTCACCAACAAAATATAGCATTTGAATAAGTCACCAACAGAAATCCAAAACATAACCATTAGAACCAATAGCCACTGTCTGTACGTGTGATAATAATTCCCTCCCCACTCACGGGTGAAGACTAGGTCAAGGTAAGGTCGGGTAACTTAGAATCAAGGGTACTCCTGAAAAACTATTGTTGTATCATCTACGTGAATACGATAGCCCTTCATTTGTACCTCATCTGAGCATGGACAACATGGCAGCAATAATGAAACTTAAGTCAACTAGACATTAATGTTCCACTCTATTCCTAGGGTTCCTATGGTTGTCACTTGTCTTGGGTATTGGGCCTTTTACCTCATAGTAACACCCACCAATAAGAAACAGATCTAGTACAACAGTAGTATATGGAAAACAGTAAAATGCAGTGCATACATATTCTCAGGTAAACATGTATGAGTGAATAAACTGAAAGCATAAAAATAGACACCAAAAGAAAGGAAACAAGAGCTAGGAGCGACTCCGGGATGGACCAACATTTGGTCGACCAGTCCCCAGTGAAGTCACCAGCTGAAATAACCGACTGTAAATCATCAAACAATGAAGTCACCATCGAACGTCTTTTATCCCACATGAAGGGAAAGGTAAACATCGAGAAAACCTAAGAAGGGAGAAGTCACGGTCTTGCGACTGAGAGATCGGGTAAGGGAGTCTGTTACGCGAGGGGAAGGTATTAGCACCCTACACTCCCGTAGTACTCTATGGTTTCCACTCATGTTATCTATCTTATGGGCGTGTCTAAATTATGCTTACTATTTACTACTGAGAAATAATGCATGCCAAGGAAAGTAGAAAAGAATGTAGGGAAAATAAAGTTGTACTCGCTTGGGCCCTACCCCAATGCCTACGTATCCTTTTTGAGGAATCAGAGTTACCGTAGTTCGGCTCATATGATTTTGTTTGTTTGTGTTTTTTATGGACAATGTTAATTCGACACATAAGTAAATTAATCATGTCCTTTCTTGAAAATAGTTTCGAGTCACGCCCTCGAGGCAAGATGCCACTTTTGGTTGGTTTGTGTTTTTGTTACCTTGAAAAAGGGTTTAAGCGTGATTAGAGAGTGTTTTATGATTTGCGAAGGAAAATGTTTTAGTCTTAGATGCATGGATGCAAAAGTAGAAGAAAAGAGTATAAGGGAGACTAGCCTATTTCTAACCTAACGTTATCATACAATGGTAGTCCTAAGGTTTAGATTAACAAAAGGGAAATCTCTACCAAATGTTAGCATTGCAACCTAAGGTCTAACTTGCACCCGAAAGGAGCAAGCACATCCTAATGGAACATGGTATGGAAAGCGAGTAAACAAAAAAGATTGAAAGAGCACACACATAAAAGAGTAAAGAAAAGAAACAAAATGATTTAGTCAAGGGGAGCGTATCACCCGAGACAAATAAGCGGGTGTAGGATGTAAAACAAATATGTGATGTCCTAAACGAATGAACACCTAACCAAGATATAGGCGATCGAGGTAGACGATAGAAAGCAATATGAACAATCACAGATTATCAGCATCAACTAATGCGAACTCCTGACAAAGCGTGGGGGTTCAATTGAAGAACCCTTACCTACTTGATGAATCGATACACAAGAACATGCACAACTACGAAGATTCGTGGTGTGTCACGAGCTAAGAATGACATGGACAAAATTCCAGGGGTAGATTGAAAACCCTCCCCGCTCGCCTCATTTTGAGGACTTATCATATGTACATATGCAGACACAGATATAATCACACCTGCAGAATACCTACTCAAAGGTAGGGTTTTAAACAACCATAAATACCAGACATAATGCACACAATGTGAAATTTTCCTAAATGGGTCTTTAAATAAACCAGAGGGGGTTCTTGACATGATCAACAATAGAGACCCCCATCATACATATCTACCCTACTTCTCATGGCATCCGAAAGAAGTAAATCCCTGCTTCTCATGATCTCTAGAAAAGTAGTAAAGAAGTACGATGAAGTGCAGAGAAATACAAAGGTGGTAGCGTCGACTACCAAAGCGAGTAAATCATTAAGAGTGGACAAAAGAAATGGATAAGAAGGGAGTACGTGTCAAGAAAGCTTCACCAAGAAAAAAAGAAGTCAAAAAAGATATCAAACTAAGATAAAAGCAAACGCATGTTGTGAATGCAATGCGTAATCAGAAGTTCCTGCACAAAGCTCATAAAAGTATCACATGTATCAGGACAACATATAATACAATATGAATTTCTTAGTACAATGAGAAATAAGGAGTGTCACATCGTAAGCAAGCATAAGATGTATGCTTCAATCACATAACTACTTGTTATGTTACATAATTGAAAGCAAAAAGAATGTACCTTGCACAACGAACAAACACGTCAAAAATAACATGGCAAAGCGGCATGAAAATATGGGTAAAACCTAAAAGAAAAAAGTATATTTTTTATTAGTTTTTTGTGTAAAGAAAATTCTATCGAAATAAAACTAAAATTAATTCCTAAAATTTCTATTAAAATCTACTATTTTATATTGCTTTTATTATATTTTTGTCGTGTATTTTATTGACAAAAATTAACAAGAAAGTCCTAATTCTAACAAAGAATTAGTGAACTCAGGGGGTGCTAATTTGAGTCCAGAGAGTATGGTCCAGTAAAATAGGCGCAAGGCCCAGTCTGAATGAAGTCCAAGAGCTGTTTTTGTTATAACCTCTTCAGCTAAAAAAATGTGCTTGGGCTTGAGGGAACAAAATTTTCGGTCTAAACCATCCTTGATATGAGACTTCAAACAATCATAGAACCAGGCTAAGTGGGAGTGTGGTTTGGTCCAAAACTAGTTTTTTTGTACTAGTTTCAAAAAACTCTACACGCCTAAGTGGGGGTGGATGGAAGCAAAGCCTAATGAATCTACAATACAACTCCATATTTTATTATATTTTAGTATAAAAAAACAATAAAAAAACAACATCAAATGAAAATTTAAAATAAAATGTGTGGATTAAGGTTAAGAAGAGGACGAAGACTGAGCTTCCTCGTTCTCACCTTCTCGATGGAGCCGCCTGCGATCTCTGACACCGACTTTGTTCGGCACCATCACTCCTCAGCCCCACCGTCACAACCGATCCATTTCTATCTTCGTCATCTTCAACAACTTGTTTCAATAACTTCTCACGGTTTTGTTCGTCTCTCCCTCTTTGTCTCAACACCGGCCCAATCAAAGGAACCATAACACATATTCCATATACAGAAATGCAGAAGCGATAAAGGTTCGAGGCTTACCTGCCGGAGTCGCTCCGACGACTTTTCAACAGCGTCGGTATTCCAAGAAAATAAGAGGTGAATTCTTCACTCTATTATTCTTTGTTCTATTTCTCTGTGTCCTCTGTGTTTTTGTGGTGTTGATATTCTTCTTTTATTCAACTCTTCTCTTTTGTGTTTTTTCGATTTCGTTATCGTTACATGTTATAGTGCAGAGATAGAAGATGATGAAGTTTTGTGTGATGATGATGCTCGTTCAGTGATGAAGCAGAGAATATGGATTATTGGTGATGGAGTGATACGAGGAAGGTGTAGAGAAAATGGTGGAGGTTGAAGCTTTGTGAGATGATGATTGAGATTGCAGAAAATTGTTGCGGTTGGATGAAGATGCAAAATAAATGGTGGATTGAGGAACGATGAAAAATGAAGAGAGTGGAGGAGCCTCTTGTAGAGAAAAAGGTGATATAAACTTTTTTTTTGAGATTTTTCTATGACTTTTCTGGTTTTTGAATCGTGAATTCTCCTCCCTCTTCTTTCTGTTTTTTTTCTGTTATTTCCATCTGTCATCATTTTGTTGAAGTTTATTACGGCAGTTGGCTTCAGTCTATTGAATTTTGTTATGGAATTGGTTAAGAGGTTGTTAGAGGAAGTTAGGAATTCTGTTGTTTAGAAATTCTAACTCGGTGTAATGTTTTTTGTGCCATGAAATGACCTTCTGCTTGTACCTTTGAAATAAAGTTGATAATATAATGGCAACTTCCAAGTATTCAATGTAGAATTCCCTCTCTCTATTTTCTTTCTTTTTCTTTTGTAATGATGTTGACAAAATGATGACGACTTTTTGATGTAATGAGAACCTTTGGGTTCCAACGACAAAATCCAAATGCTTCAAGTAGCTTTCTCTCCCGTCTCTAATTTTGTATTCGCTTCTAGATGCGCCATGGACATTGATCCATCAAAGTCTTGAATAACCAAACTTCCTTTGGCATTTATGAATGGATCACCAAGCTTTAAAAACTTCAAATGATTGAATTAAATTTGTGATTCTATGACCTTTAATTCCTAAAGCCTTAGTGTTTCGTAATATTTTTAGGCCTTTAGGTTGTGATATTTAACTGAAATCTAAAGAAAACTTGTGTTATCGGTAATACAAGTGTTTGTAACTTATTCTCCAAGAAATACAAGTGACTCTTTAATATTTGAATCAACTCTCGACAAACCAAACACTCAATAACTTTGAAACAATCTATTTCAATCTGATGAAACTATGGCCCTGTCTTAAACCTACATCAAGCAATGAATTCGCTGAAGAAAGCTCGATAATGGCCTTGGAACTTGAGGAGAAAGAATTCATCACCAGCCATGAGTCAAAACCTATCTCCACAATCCAATACTCAAAGAAAGAACCCGATGAAATTAATCTTATTTAATATATACACCTCAAACCAACTGTAAAACCCTAATTATTCAAGATCTCTTATCCCAAGCTAAGTTTATTGGTTAATAATGTGTGACGCGTTGAATGACCTAATAGAAAGGTAATGCTTGTGAAAAATAAGAGATGCATAAGCCATATGTTTTGATGAAAGGGTGGGACAACTTTGGGGTATTACACTGGGCACGACACCAGTAGCTACTGGGCTTGAAACACAAAATTCAGGATATGATTGATAATAAAGAAATTGAGTTTGACCCTCTTGAGACCCCCAATGTGATTACAGCACCTATGCCGAAGCATGACAAAGGCATCCATGCTATTGATGATGTTTCATATATTTTTATTGTAGATGAATTGACTACTCACCTCTCCATCATTAAGAAGAATTTGTTGCAAACCAGTTTATTTTCGGGTTGTATTGAAAGATGTTACTGCTGCGCAGCTCAACCCAATGGCTGCAAGTTGCTGAAAGAAGGTATTCAGCGTATGATGGACAACCATATCACTGTCGTTGAGAAGATTCCTTCTATTAAGAATTTGTTTCAAGATTTATCCGTAATTTCTGGCACTCCTATCATGATCACTGCCAAAGGCCCTGTGAAGATTAAGACTGAACCCAAAGTTGCTCCTCTAATAATCAGTTCACCCGGACCAATTCCGTATTCCTTGGACAAGGCTGTCCCTTGGAACTATGGAGCCAACGTATACTACCATTATGTTAAGCAAGAACTATCAACTACTGAAAATGAAGGTACCGAAGTTGTTGATCCCACTGTTGACAATATTGCTGGGACCAGTAAAGTTACTAGAAGCGGAAGGGTTTTCTCTCTGGAAATCTCTCCAAATATGGTTTCCGCACCAATTCATGTTACCGCTACTAAGTCAGTTACTGAGACCCGGGGCAAAGAGAAATTAACGGAGCCTGCCCATACAGAGGCACCTAAAGAAGTTATAGCTGAAGATACCTCCAGGCAGGAGTTGGAGGAAGTTTTGAAAATTATCCGGAAAAGTGATTGTAAGATTGTTGAACAGCTGAGACAAACTAATTCTAAAATCTCCATGTTATCCCTGTTGTTGTGTTCAGAAGCCCATGCACATGCTTTGGTGAGGTTCTTAAAGTCTGCTCACGTTCCACAAGAAATTTCTACCGACCAATTTGAGAATTATGTGGCTAGCTTAACGACTGATAATGGGCTAGGTTTTTCTGATGGTGACCTAACTCCTGAAGGAAGAAACCACGACAAGGCCTTGTATGTCTCTATTGAATGTAGGGGAACTACTCTAGCTCACATATTAGTTGATACTGGTTCCTCACTAAATGTTCTTCCAAAAGGTGCTCGTGACAGACGTGATTGCGAAGGGGTTATACTAAAACCTAGTGATATTGTGGTGAGTGTCTTTGATGGTTCTAAGAGGATGGTACACGGGGAAGTGGATCTTCTGATAAAAGTAGGTTTGTAGGTCTTCGAATCTACTTTCTTTGTGATGGATATCCGGCCAACGTATTCTTGTTTGCTCAGACACCCTTGGATCCATGGGGCAGGTGCCGTTACTTCAACCATACACCAAAAGCTGAAGTATCCTATGAAGAGGAGTATATGGTGAGTCATTTGAACTCATTCTGGTATGTAGAGATAGACATCGAATTCATTGAAACTCCCTTCCAGACCATTGAAGTTATTCGTCCTACCACTACTGAAGATGCTTATGCTATTCCCAAATTTACCAGGGCCCCACCCAAGATGGCTTCTTTGAAGGATGCTAGAGCTGTAGTGGAAGAAGGTGGTTGCACTACTTGGGGTTGTCATACCCCAATTTTTGACCTAAGATCCCATTTTTATTTTTGCATTTTTATACAGAAGTCAAGGTCACTAAATACAGTCAATTTTAACCTCTCACCTTCGAGCATTGATTATGCAGAAATTGTCAAGTGTTTTGAACATTCTTAGCCTATGTATCACTAACTTCTAATCATGCACGAAATGTGTGTTTTTTGTTTCTTTGATTTCATGTGCTGACAGGTCTCCTTCGATTCAGCCTTTCGATTAGACAAGTTTACTGCCTGCAAACATGCTTCGATTGGGCAACATTGCTTCCTTCGAACACGGGTTTTCGATTGGGCAATATGTTTGTTTTGATCCACTTGCTTCGATTGGGCAACATTGCTTCCTTCGAACACGGGCTTTCAATTGGGCAATATGTTTGTTTCGATCCACATGCTTCGATTGGGCAACATTGCTTCCTTCAGTCACAGGCTTTGATTTAGCAAAGCTTCAATTGGGCAATACAATCTCCCTTCAGTCACAAGCTTCGATTTGGAATTACAGTCTCCTTCAGTCACAAGCTTCGATTTGGCCATGTAGTTTCCTTCGAAGTGACCCCCTTTGATCCACAAGCTGGACATGTAATTTCCTTCAAGGTGGTCTCCTTCGATTCACAAGTTGGACCACTAAACCCTTCGAAGCAACGTACTTAGAGCACACATTGTTTGGAAACAAACATTTTTGTGTAATCATGAAGCTGGTCGAAGTGATCAAAACAAAAGGGGGAAGTATTCAAGGAGTTTGTTTACTAAAGACCCATATACTGCCAAACTCAAGCAGCTGTGCGACTATGCAGCAGTCCTGCACCAACTTGCCACTAAGCTCCAAAATACTGATAAGCCTGCGTTGTCTGAGTCCTGTACTTGCACAAAAAAGGAGTGCACAAGAGCTGCATTGAAGAAAACAAGGGGGAAATATACCCAAATAATTCAAATATTATTTGATTTCCCCCTAAAACCATATCAAAGCTCGCCTATAAATGAGAGGCTCCAACACATATTTTTGGGAGGATTTTTTGGACTAGAGGAACGAAACCTCCAAAATCTTCTCAAACACAACAACAAAACTCTCAAGTTCATCAACACTTGAGAAATAAAAACCAGAAACGCTCACCTATTTTTATTCTGAAGAATCCACACACTTCAGTCTCCTTCGATTCTGAAGAACACCCCACACGTAGTTGTTTTATTCAAACTCAGAAAGACAAACCCCTGTGACTACTCTTCAATTCTAGTTTGGAAAGAAACATAAGACTTGTTTCTTTCCTTCCTTCGAATCCAGCATTCCCAGCGCAACTGTTGGCCCCCCTCTTTCGAATCCAGCATCTTGGCCCCCCACTCAAGGTCCCACATCCATTCAAGGCCTGAAGCAAGGTAAGTCACTCTTACCCTTGAACTTTTCGTTTCATGCCATAACATGTAAATAATCTTTTTGTTCATTTCCAGCATGTATATACCATTGTTCCTTTCGTTTCCACCCTGTTAACATGTTATTAAAAGTTAACCCTTTCGTTTTGCTTTCTGTTTACCTGAACTAGCTTTAGCTATTAAACTGTTTGAAAGACAAATACTAGCATGGCCTCAGGCCATGTTGCCATTTAATGCTTGAAATGAAAGAAACAGGAAACAAGAAACAGGAAATAGGAAACGAAGCTTCTGGCTTCTACCCTTTTTCTCCAGGTCAAACGAAAGACACAACCAGGAGGCAAACCATGTCCAATCGAAAGACATTCCCTCACTGCTTTCAACCTCCAATCGAAGAAGGCAACAAGGCAGAATCAATAGACTTCACCATACACTGACTTCCAGGCCAATCGAAGGACAGAACCTCACTGGTGCGAACTCCCAGTCGAAGGATACAACTTGCTGCTGCCTTTGCCCAATCGAAGGACAGGACCTCGCCCCTGCCAAGGCCTAATCGAAAGACGTGACTTTGCTGATTGCCAGCCCCAATCAAAGGAGGCCAACAAAATGCAAATCGAAGGCTGCTACTGCCTGGGTCGAAAGACACTCACTTTTCTTACTTTTATCTTGTTTTTTTTCCTTCATATTTTTTATGCCTTTTGATATGTTT